CAGACAACTAATAAGTTAGTTTTTAGTTGCCTGAGATTTACCCAAGGAGGAGACAAAGAGCGTTACCGCTAAAATAGCGATGACGCCCCTCCATAAATTTGAACACAATTTCCGTTCTTTTGATCATTATAAGTTCGATACTTTTTTTTTCTGTGCTTTTCGCCACACACTCGGAGACATTTCTCAAATAGGAGAAAACACTCGCGTAATTTGATAAGTAAAATACGGCAGATCAAATATGTACAAGCATAAGTTAAATAATATCTTGAATATAATTTTGGTCTTATTTAATAAAATTACAATGATAGTTGAATACAATAAATAGAAAAATAGAAAATTAACCACGTGCACCTTGTTAAACTCGATGTGTTGTCCGAGTAAGTCTATATATTTACAACCACAAATAAAATATCTGCTTTACAGTATTGTACGGAAGAGCAATAGATAGCGGTAAATAACCTGTATTAGTACGAAAGAAGAAAGAAAGTATATATATAATGAGTTGGTAATAGTGTCGATACATTGTACACTTTAACTTGGATCTTTAATACGAATATTATGTGTCACAGTGAAATGCATTTGTTATGATTTGGAGGTGATGTTCGATCAAAAAAGTTGATGTCCGATAAACAGGTTCAGGGTGGTGTACTATAAGAAAAGTCTGCCACAAGCCCATTAATCAACAATTGTTCGAAAAGACATGCATGTCCAATAACACAGGGTTCTGGAGTTTTGATGGTCTCCGTTAATCTTGATAGCGTGTTACAATATCAGAACCCCGGTGCAGTACATAATTACTAGTATATACAGTCGGTCTTAAGCCCCACTCGTTTCTCTTATAAATACCAAGTAGGGTATATGCGTAAGGTTTGTAGCTCATCTGACATTAGATGCCAACTGCCCGGATTTTATTCTCAAGATCATAGACCTGTTGTTTATCTGTGAAGTCTGCATGACTGTATACACGGATCATATACCCACATTCTTTAACTTTAGGGGAATTAGGAACATGTTCCCTGGAACGCATGCTTATCTTAGCACGTGGTCCTAATTGTGAGTTTACTGTTGCCACGGCAATAACATGCCATGCAAGGTCTGCTTTATATCCAATGTTAAAATGAATCAGCCATTTTCCAGACGTCACGTTATGTGCCTTGGCCAAGTCGTATATTGTATGGTAGTTGATTGGTCGACCAGACTGTTGTAAAAGTTTCCACTCTTCCTGTAGTCCTTTAACACTACGTTGCAATTTACTGAAATCTAGACTTTTAACATGTATCGAAGCAACGCCAGACATATAATCAGACAGCCTGTAAAAAAACACAATCAATAACAAATCACTTGTAGCTCGCCTGTCAAGTGAATGGTAACGGATTTGTGTGCACCAATGTCATCCAACTTACAATACATTTTAAGAAAAACAACTTTGACTTCAGCATAAAGTGGACAGACGCATTGCCATAGTATTTTAAAAAAAAACTTGTTATTGTATGAATTTAGGTTGAATCAAATATGATTAAAATAATATCCTAGTTTGGACTTTTCTTGTTTCAGATATTTTATAAAAATATTTATTTGCTGGTATTTATTGGCTTTCTCTGGCTTTCGCAATACTATTACATACTCAAAATAAAAAAATAATATTTTAATCAGACGGGGTGAAATCTAAAAAAGACCGGTAGTAGGTATATGTGCATGTAACCTGAACATCATAATTTAGTAATCCTCCAGTGATGGCCATATGAGTGATGAGACTCAACACTGCATTATTGTGAGCCGAAGCATCCAGGTTGATAGCAAAATACGACTTGTGTAAATTGCAATGTTTGAGATGTATCACGTGATTAGATGCATGAAACACAAACAGCGAACCTGTCGCCGATAGTCATTGAGTTTTGAGCAGCTAAACCTTTCCATTGTGAACTCAATGATACAATGACCTTATGGCATAGCAAAACGTTGAACTAAATGTACAAAGGGAAAGTATAATATCGAAGCAAATAATATTTGTTTTCTGTCAAATGTCATCTGCATAATAAGAAGTTCTTGTCGTATATAGTGAACAAGATTTTCGTTTGAGAAAGATAAATTGAACTAAATGAATTGTGGGTAGAAGATTCAGGTAGCAATCAATATTTATATTGAAATGTGAATGATTTCTTTAAAACGTGGTACTTGTTTTTTAAGTGTAAACAATACGTTCTGTGAAATGATTCTGTAGCGTAAGTTTTACTGTGTTACCCTCCATGTAACTTTGTGACTATTTCATTTTTGCATCGATTGTCGATGTTGTCTCCTAGTCAGTTCTTTGAAATACATAGCAGATTCTCGTTCGGGGGTAGAATGCAGTCAGTAAAACTTTGCTCACCGGATTTTGTTTACCAAATTTTACTCACCACTTATCCAACCGCGTTTCTGATAGGCTTAATCTGGTTATTTTAAAAATAGGTCATAGTTAATGAATAACGTCACTGGTTAGAAACCTTGTCAATATCCCCGA